GCTCTCCTGGGTTAAAAGGAAAGGTCTGTGCATTGATTCATAACTCTTGAATGATACGTATACAGCAGAGGGTAGGAGGAAATGATCAGCTTTGACAATGCATAAATGGTCTTCAACAGAGTACAAAAAGCATCTGACTGGAGTCTGTGCTGTTCAGCACACTCAAAAATGTTTGAGAAAGGAGGTCAATAGTGTAGTGAAGACTTTGCCAATGATAGTGCTACTGCTTTGACTAGCACACAGTTAAACTGTGAACCACCTTGCCGGAGAATGGTGCGTATGCTGCAGATTGACTGCACTCTTATCCCCCATCTGTCAAACTCTTGGGCACATCTGAAAATTTTCACTCAGTGTAAGTCCCATGAGGCACTCTCTGTGCTAAGGAACTTCACTGCATTGCACGGATACGCTTTGAGAAAGAGAAACATTATATAGTTATTACAGGAAACTGTCTCGTGCCTGTCATCACTATGACAGCAAGAGGCGATCCTTAGCAACCAATACAAACCCATCCTGTGTCATCATCTTTGCAGAGGACCTCATGGTGCCTTATTCCTGCTGGTTGATTCTCTGAACTGGATCTTGCTAGAGGTTATGACTGGAAAAGTGCTATGCTCCTATTCTTTTGGTAAGCATCTATTGTTTAGGATTCAGGTGCTGCTAAACAATTCTCATTTAGCTAAGTTTGGTCATGCCAGTGCTTGTCCATTAACTCCTGGCAACAGAGCTTTAGCTGAAGCTGCTATATTTAGATGACTTTATCAAAGTGTGAAACAGAGAGAAAAATGAAAAGCAAGCATATCATCATGCAGGATTAAAAGTCATGAAATTGCCTGGATCACAAAGAACAAAAATGTTCAATAGTTTAATACTAGAAAAAGTAATGCAGATGAGTCATCCTCACAGTAAGACTACAGATAGCTGGATTGTGAGACTATTTTTCTGTTCTCCTTTGTAATAAGAGCAATGTGTCATTGTCTCTCACATATTCTGCAAATTACAGAAGTGGTTTGCACACCTGCCATTTAACTTTTCAACATTCTGTACACCACCTGGCTGACTCCTGCACATCTGTACGAGTTTTTAACATCTATAGAAGAAATGGCTTGGAAAGTTTATCCAAGCAAAATAGACAATTAGGAGAAGTGAACACACTTCTCCAATTCACAAAATATTATTGGCAAATGAAAAATCAAAAATGGCAAAATTTGTAAAGGAGATTTTCAAAGTATATACACTAGAAGAACACAGAAGCTAGCCTCAATTTTAAGAGCTACCACTCCTAAAACAAGTACTTTGTTTTACCCTAAGGTTATTCATCGAAGGATTCAGACCAGATCTTCTGAGTGCTCAAGCTTCTACTTTTCCAAGGCTTAAAACCCATTCTCCTAGGGCAATGTGGAAAGGAGCAGCATATACACTGCATGACAAGGGATGGATGCGAGCCATAGGCATGGGCTTTTTAGCATGGCTTCTTTCAGCATGAAGTCCCCATGGGTGCATTGCAAGAGCAGGACATGTTTCTTCTATCACAGAGCTAAGTGCCAGGTGCACTTGGTCAGCAGACCCTAAACTAAACCTGCTATTTTTTGGCAAGGGGGATTCTATAGCAGGAGAGGGGCAACATCAGAGAAAAATAAATATTTGCAATTTAGGTCTACTTGTGGGTTGCAAGAAGGAAACATTAAAGGGAATCTGGCTGGATTTGTAATGTATGAAACTTGGAAGTTTTTTGAGCATCGGTAGCTAAGTTCATGCAACACTAATACAAAGTAAAAGGGTCTTTGTTTTCTAGATAAACTGGGGCAGTGAAATATGAAGAAACTAGCTCAAGGTCACATGAATCAGGAAAACCAAAGAACATGTTGTTGTAAATCTAAAATACTCCTTTATGGAAGAAGACAACAGGGCAAAAAAAGAAATGAACCTACACTAATCTTTCTCTAATGCAAGGAGAGAAGAAATATGTCAGAATGTGTCCATCTTTGTGTCTTCCAGCACCTTATCTCATACACTATGTCTTAAAGCCCGAAGATGAAGACTGCTAGTTGTCTCCCAGAAGACATGATTTTCTCTTCTTTTCCACTGGTTGGAAACTGGGTGTGTTATCTCTAAATTTAAGAATAAAAGAAATAGAGCTAATTATTTAAATACCTTAATATTTTGTATTCTATATGTTTATTTATTTAGCATTTTAAATATATCTTTCAACCAGAGATAAGAAAAATATATTCACTGACTTTCTTAATCCTTTTGACACATTTTTGCTAAAAAAACTTCACACCTGAGGTGCTCTTTTGGCCTTTTTAAAAAATCTCACTGAATCTCTAAGTATGTTTTTAGGTGCCCAAATGATCTGAAACAAAATCCAGCATGATTTGATATTGTAAGAAAGTATAAAAATTACTCACATATTAGAATAAATCCCAGTGATTCCGGATGACCCGCTGATGCACAACTAACTTCTTATTCTGGAGAGAAAATGCTGTGACATTTGTAACATTTAAATTTGTAACTTTTTTATTTCAAAATGCTGGTTTCTCCTTATATTTATCTCGTGGGTTTCCTATTTAATCCATCTCCCCCAGCAGATTTCATGTTTGCTTCACAGGCATCAGTGAGGACCTGTGGGACAGGGGAATGGGGAGCTTGAGATTCTTTTCTCCTGTCTTAAGAGTGGAGGGTTGTCATGAAGAGGCTTCCTTTCACAGAAACAGAAGTGACTTTTCAAGGTGAGAAGATACAGAGTGCTTCACTCAACATTTTTCCTGAGTAATTATAGCAAGATTGACCCACTGTGAACAGGATTTTTACTTCGGCTGTCTTTGTTTTATCCTCTTATTTTATCTTCATTTTAGTGTCCTTGTCATGGTGGGAGAACATTATTGCATGAGTATTTTTTTAAACAAGTAAATCTTGCTTCCTGCAACAAGTATAAGTTTATCTGACTTCTAGGTCACAGAACTTGGATAATTTTTCTTTTAAATTAATCATATTCTGGCCCAGAGGATCTGGTAAAGCTAATATACTACAAGTTTGCAAATGTTGTACCAGGCAATCTTCTCATCGCTCCACCACCCCTTTGAAATTAAGTTTTGCTTGCTCAGTTAAGGAACCGCACATATCTTTTCCTCAATAGGAGCAGGTTTTTTGAAAGAGAAATAAACCAACATTTTATTGTGATAAATACATCTTCGATTTTTTTCCCTGGAATAGAACAATGCTATATTGTCAGAAAATTGCAAGTGAAGTACTGTGCAGAAACAGGAACAGAGAGGTCAGTGCAAAACTTACTATTTATAGCTTTGAGAAATAAATGCAGCTGGTGATAAAATAGTAGAGTACATTATTTTAGGGAGTGTGGACAGGTGTCTCTGCCTCACGAACATGCATTCTGTATTGAAAGCTGGAGGGTCTCAGAGTCTCCAGTCCCTCTTTGCAGCCTACAGCATGTCTCCTCTCACTGTCAGTCATCTCCTTTGTGCCAACAGCTCTTGTCTGGATAAGGGAGTCTGCACCTGAGTGTGTAGAAGGAGCACTCTTCTCTGGGAAATTGTTGCAGTACCAGGTGAAATAAAGCCCACCCCTGGCCTAAAATTAAAAAAAAAAAAAAAAAAAAAAAAAGCAATAGATCCTCTAACCTCATCCTCTCTCACAAGAAAAAGCTAGGTCAGAGCAATAGCTTCCTGGGGAGAAAAACAAATGCTGAACTGTCCCATGATGCTGACAGTAAGCCTGGCTAGAGTACAGAAAAGAAGGCCATTGCATAAACCTCAGCAGTAACTGCCAAAGTCAGACTTATTACCAGAGCTTATTCAACATCTTTATTACTATACAATGACTTCTAGTGCAATTCAGCTTGTCAAGCCAAATGCTGGAAAAATTGTTCTCTCATTCTTTGTTTTTCTTCTCAGCACTTACTGTTTTTCACTGAAAAAAGACAGAGATGTGACCAAAGAGATGCTATGGGGGCTGATGGCATTACATCTGCCTTATATCTACAGTGCTGAATTGTCAAAACTTTTGACTCTTGGCAGAAAAAAATATTGGTTTAGGCATACTTTTCAACTTGGAAAAAGATGTTTTTAACTTTCAAAATAGATAAAGTATCCCATCAGACACTTTTAAAATGGAATTTCTCTTGGCTCAGCGTTTATAGTAACTTCTCATTTGGAAGTTTCAGCTAACTAATAAAAATACTAACTTAAAATATTAAAATATTAAAGCTGGAAGTATTTTGAAATGATCAATAAATTAACAGATTGATTCTTTTCAGTGCACACTAACATAGGTATGAGTTTGACTTTCTCTGTCTCTAGGATATGTTTTAAAATGCTTCCAAATGCTTTCCCACAGAAGGAATATTATTATTCACTTAGCTCTTACTACAACAGCAATGCTAATGACCAGAACTATAAACAATGTTTACATCATTATTTGAATGAAATTTTCACAATAATTTAATATTCCTCCTAATTTTTCTGTGTCTCTCCCATCTGTATTTCAAAAAGCACAAAAAATAAATGCCAACTGAATGTTGACAAACAGAAGGCAAAAGCCTGGCAGCCCTCTATAAAGCGAAGAGAAATCTATTAATAACCTACCTGGAGTCTTATTCTTTATATTTAGTTTGTCTCTATCCGCAGACATGGCTGCTGCTCGTGTGGTGTTTTCATTAGGGCTGGAAGGATTACCAGTAGACCATCTGTTCAGTCACAGAGAAAAAACGTGATTGACAGGTGCCACTGACCTAAGACAGACACCTCCATTTGGTGCAGCCTGCAGAGTATAACTACATGCTGAGTTGCTTCTTCCTCCAAGTTGTAAATCAAATACATTCACTCTGAGGTGATAAAATGTGTTTCATGATTGTTACAGCGTGTTTCTCTGACATGTATTCAACTGCCATATGCCCGTTTTCCTCCTTTTCAACTTACTAAAACCTCCAAAGTCATAAATCTAATCTCTAAGCTGGCATGATGCTGAGGGGATGAGGCACCACAGATAGCTAAGGACAGATAATCCTGTTTGTCTCCAGAACTGTGGAGGCTGCAGGAAGAACTGGCAAGCTGCAAGAGGCCCTGACTTTTGCCCATCGGTGTAAGGACGAGCCATCTCTATGTTGTTGTCATTCAGCCCAATGTCTGGGATTTGGTTTTGTTTCATCGTTAAATAAAGGTGCTTTTCCAAGAAAAGTCATCGTAAAATTGGATTCGGGAATAGCTTTTTTATTCCTCTATGTGGAGACAAGTTTTGCTCTACTTCAGAACTCACAGATATCATGCAGACAACTGTCAAGCAAAGGAGACCCTCCAAAGTGGAGATGACGAGGATATTAAAGCAGCAGAGTGGATTTTTGAGGTAAGAAAAAATCCAGGGTTATCCAAATGTCCTGAAGGAGTGGGAAAATGGTATCTGGAAAGAAGCAGCAATAAAGTGTTAATGTCATATATGATATCCATAGACTATTTGTCACCAAGACCTCAGTATTCCTGTAGTTTTCCTTTATTCCTCAGTCTCATCCTCTGCCCTCTGTTCCTCGGCATGTTGCAACCACAGTGACAAAGGAGGTGGTGATCCGCCTTCCTGTTAAGTGTCTGCTTTCAAACAGCATACTAAACACATCCATCTAACTCATAAAAATGATTCATACTTTGTGGAGCTAATCTGTGGTTAAAAGGGTGAGGAAAAATATGTGGTTCATCATGTTTAGACACTGAAGAGGTCTGCATTTTTACTGTTGCTACCTCAGGCGATTTTTATTGGTAGTTAACAAAAGATATCCCAAAGATGTCAAACACAGCATAATACTAAAATCTATTAGAGTGTTACAGTAAAAGCCCTTTAGTGAACCTGTAGAGCTGAACCATTTTCCTTAATTAAAAACAACAGTCATGTATCCTTTAGATTTTGTCAAAAGCCTGAAGGCTGCCTGAGGGGTGAACCAATGTTATTTATGGCGAGCAGCACACTCCTGCGCAGCTCAACAGAGCAAGACCGACAGGTGCAAGAAACCATATCTTGTTAAAACTTTGGTGCAGAAGTGCTGCACCCTGGTGTGTAGTAGGGAAGAGAATGTAATAGCAAAGTCACACACTCTTGGAACCACAAAGTTTGGGGGGGGTTCAGACTAACTTAGCACCAGAGTGGAGAGGGACTAAGTCAGCTAGTTGAGGTTGTTGGCAGGGTTAGTGAAAGGCAAGACATGGGAAGAAGCCATTCCACATCTGTCCTACAGATGTTCAAGTTAAAGCAAGACTTGGCTTCTCCAACCCATCTCCTTAGCCAGTGCACATCCATTTCCAGGAGGCCATTTCACTTGAATTACAGGAATACGCTCTTCAGAAATCCTAAATTACTTTCCCTGCTTTTGCTGAGAGGAAATACTCAGCCCGCTTTACCACTATCAGGAAACTCTTTCTGATAATAAACCAAGTACACTCCTTTTAGAATTTCATGTCATTCTGTCTCATTATCTGTCCATTTGGCACAAGAGCCTGGGCACTTCTTGGCCCTCTTGAAGGCAGAGGGGGTTTTGTGACAGGCACAGTGGTTCCTGAATTTAATCCTTGATAGTCATAGATTCTGAAACCCATATACTGAGTTCTTCACAGCTCATGTCCCCAGTCATTTCTCATTTAGCCATCCTTTTATTCATCCCAGGTGAACAGTTCTTTTCAGCTTGGTAATCGCTTTTGTGGCTCTCACCTGAAACTAGTTTGTTGTCAACTCTGTGAGAACATGGTGCACAGGACTGAGTCAGGGACTTCACAGAGGACAGCTGATTATTTCTCCGCTCTGCAAAGAGATTTATCAACAGAGGGACCTAAATGTCACTGCAAGGTTTGGGACCACTTACTCTTCACGGTTCCTTAACACCAGCGCTGCCAACTTCCTTTCTTCTGCTGGCTGTCTGTCCCATTTACTTTGTTCTGTGCTTATGTTTGTAAATGCTGCAGCTCTGCTGGTGTGGCTCTCATCTCTGGTAGCAGGGACAGCCTGGGAGATGCTCTGTAACCACTTCATGATCTCAGCTGAGGTGAAATTGCTGTCATGTGGAAACTCTTGTATGAGGCTACATGCTCTGGGGGAACATGTCTTCAGAAGTTCATAAACCATATCAGCAAATGATTCTTTCCATATGTAACGTAAGCAATGTTACTAGTAGTTAATGAGTCTACAAGGACTGTGTTAGTAATAGGAGGTTAGAAAACTTACCCATCTAGAAATGGGTACAGCCCTTAGGCTGGGGCATTAGAATAAACTGCAAGCTTTACTTCACATAGGAAAGAAATAACCTTATTTTTTACTGATAGGGAACCCAGGCACAGAGGATTTACATGATTCTCTAGTACTTAGGAAATCAACTTGAAGCCTGTAAGGTTCAAGACCAGCTTGTCACTTACTTTTTTTTTTTTTTTTTTTTTCATTTTTCTGGTGGCATTGAAGCCTGCAGAAAGTTCAGATTCTTTCCAGTGAGATGTTTCTATATGTGACACTGGTCTCTATAGACATACTGTGTTCTGAGACCCATAATTTGTGTAACTGACAGGGTCTTTGTTCAGATTCCCCAGTCCTCATTAATTCCCTTGTTCCCTTCCACCTTAAGTGAGCTTTTGATGCTTTTTGATGCTTCTGAATGTGAGCAGTGACTGCTTCTGAGAGCAAGCTGACATCTAATTGAACATGACAAATAGTAAAAAAAATGAAATATTAAATAAATCAGGTTTAAAAAAAAAAAAACAACACAAACCCAAATCTTTTAACAGAACACTTGAGTTAAGTTTATTTATTCTTGAACATGCTTTCAAAGAAACACTGAATTACAAGAGAAATGTTTTTGAAAAGTGGTAGGCAGTTTAAAGACCATTTAAATTCTCTTCATGATATTTAAATTAACCCAGTGAGTTGTTTATTTCTAATCTCTATTTGCATAGTTTAAGAAGCCTTTCCCTCTGACATGTTTGCATCTTGATTTATAAAAGTGTTAAAAAGCAAAAGTGAATAAACTGCTTTTTACCAGTCTCAGCACAAAGATGCAAGGGCTTACTTAGCCCAGAGCTAACACAGACACGTTCTTGTGTGCTCCCAATGAGCTTTTTGTAAGTTAACAAAATAAACACCCCAGAAATATTACACTGCACAGGGAGATAGTGTGAAGTTGCAAATCTATCACATTTTTTTCCTAATGATAAAATTTGGCCAAAGTCCTGTTACACAGAACTCATTGCCATCGCTTCCTCAAAAGAGGATGAGAACATTCTCGTCAGAGCAGCCACATTTCAGTTCATGTCCAGTTTACCTCTGCACAGGACCTATTTCACTTCTGTAACATAATTATGATTTCTAAGTATACAGGCTCCAGATTTGATTGGGTTTACATGAATAATATGCCTATGGACAATAGGTGACTGGGCAAGTGCAGATAGAACAGCAGTGTCCGGGCTCTGAGGGCACTAGTAAGTGTTAATGGGCCCTGACCAGCCTCTCCTGGGGCCTCCACCCTTACCCATGGATCCAGCAGCAATATTTAAGCTCAGCCCCGAGGGCCTGTTCCCTACCTCCTCGAGCTGTGCTGAAGGAGGGCTGGTCTCCAGCAGAGTGACAGCCATGCTCCATTTGGTGATGGATCCACCTGACTGAAACCTTAACCCCCACCCTGGGCTGACTTCCTGGCTTGATCTTGGCTATCCCTTGTTAGCGAGGGCTTGCCTGATGACTGTGGGACCTGATCTGAGGAGCTGACTTCCACCTTGCTGTGACACTGCCTTATGATCTGGACCTTGCTTGGATCATCTTCACCTCTGCTCTCAAGGCATGGAGCGCAGAGATGAAGAAAAGCATAGTGCTAAGTGAGGTGTGTGCCAAGGAAAGGCAGAGAGCAAGTCTCCTTAAATATCAACCTGTAGGCTGAGGCCCAATGATACCCCGGTTATACTAGTGTTGTCTTTTTGCTTGACGGTCCTACACATTTGAGTTCTGTGTGGGAGACCAGGCAGAAACTGAAATATCCACAAGCATGCTGTTGGAGGAGCAGCCCAGGGGAAGTATGTCATCCTTTATCTTTCATCGACCTAATCCCTGCTCTGCAAAATTCCTTTGGGTTGGAGATTTCAAATTTCAACTCCATGACCTGCATGTAATGTGAAAGTCACTCATGACCATGCATAGCTCATCTAAATTATTTGACAACTGCTGTGAATTATGATTTCTTTGATAAAATAAAGATCCATTCACAAACAACTGCAGAAGGATCATAGAAGATATTATTTGCAAAGGACAACATGACAACTAAATTATTGCACTGCTTTGCAAAGTATTCTAGTGTCTTTAGGTGATGAATGTTGTCAGTCATTAATTACTGTTAACAGTCCCTCTGAAGTCAGATATTGTCTTTATCTTTTACAAGAGTAGGAAAAGTCCTGATATTAGTAAATACTCACCCTCTTTAGTCAGTATAATCTCTCCCCAAGTACATTTCATGTCAGGAGTGTTTATTTGGTGAAGTATGTATTTCATACTTAGTCACGGTAGCATTTGTGTGTCCTAAAGCGTGTGATGGTGTCATAGGGTGTTAGGAATGAATCAAGCAGTAACTTATACCAAGAACACATTCTTTCTCTTCTTTTGAACAGGTGTTGTGCTTAATTAAATAGGCTGAAACCTATTTTAAAAGTCACATTTAATCTAATTCTTATGTTTGAGATGGGCAGGTGATGCAAACTATATGGTTGTGGGTTGAATCACTTGGCAGCTAACATTCTTCATCTTTGTCAAGATAGTTATTCTTACACAGCAGATGTAAAATTTGAGACATATTTGATGCTGTTTTATTCAGGCGCAACATTTCAAAGGGAGACAGAATTCTGGGAGAGAAATAGGAGTCTTACATAGTATTTAGGATCACCAAATTATAAGCATCTAGTCTTACTGACAACTGCTTTAATAATATAGTATACTTTTAGGTAGGAAATAAGTGGGTATTTTACTGAGTAAGTATAGATTAAGATAATGAGCTAAAACCATATGCAGTTGGTTTTTAAGATAAGCAAAATCATTTCTAGAACAAGCTGGAGAACATTATCTCTCTGTGGTCTTCTGTGCAGTTGATTTTGCTTTCTTGACATGTATCCTTTATAACAAAGGTTTATCTTGTCCCTGAAGTGTTTTTACTAGTTAAAAAAGGTCTACTTCTGCATATTTTTACACACTGTATCAATCCTGAAGTACTGATCCTTTTCAGACGTGCAGTGTCCAGCAAAATATTGGCGCACATCTCATCAGCAGACCTATTAGGAGGATTAAGGCTTGTCAACCCCCAGCACTGCAAGAGGGGTCAGGCAGAAACTGGAAGTGGCTTC